TTGTTCTTTAATTGTGTCTATAAATACGGTACTCGACGAGTTAAAATATATTATAATGCAAAATCTATACGTTGGCGTACATTTTTATGAAGCTGAAGTAGCATGAAGTCCGGATTTGGACTCGAGTTCTATTGGTTCCCAAATTACTACAACTGTATTAAAATATGTTATAACTGACACATTTCATTTAATCAGACAATGATAATTGAGGAAGAGCCATGCTAGCACGAATGGGCCGGCTCGACCGAAGTGATTCCACGGCATCACAGAAAACCGACGTGAAACAACGCTTGCGTTGTGTTAGTGAGGTTATTGGAAGCCCAATTACCTTCCCCCGCCCTCCCCAGACTCCCAAATCCCCCATATTCCTCAAATTCCTAATTCCCAAAAGACCGGTAACACACTTATAACGCTTCTGGTGTTCCAGGTGTCCACGGCCGACGCCGATTGCTTTCCATAAAAAAAATGAGAAATAGTCCCTAAAACTATTTATTTACTATTTTGCAAAAAGTGAGTCCCCTTAAAATACACCTCTACCCATCCCTTTAAATAATAGCTCCGATAATTATAAACATCAATTCTAAATTACCAAAAACATCAATCAATTAGTATCGTGGTTGCCACGCGCTTAATGACGCGACCGCAATACGCCATTTTGTATTTGTCTGACTACAATACAGAGTAACGAAATGAATATTCTCGAATTTGTGGTTTCAAACGGTTTAGAGAGAGTCTAACATATCATTACACCTTTAACTTAAAGAGGTACACTTGAGATATAACTATAACTTCAAGCCCCCCTTTTTTGAAGTTGGTTGATTAATACACTAAATTACTATCTTTTCCTAAGTGTAACAAACACTTTTCAAACCGCATCAAAATCGACTCAGTCGATCGCGAGATGTACCTACATACAGGTGAAACAGACATAATCCCTTTTTTTGAAAAAAAAAGCATATACCTGGTTCACTATCGATATGGAAGCCAAGAAAATATTTCTAATCACTTTATAAAGCGTCACAGTTTAGAAAACTCTTAACCTCTATTCACCGTTGCTAATCAAAAAGCATGCACTAAAGCCGATATTAAAATCAGGATAATCCATAAACCAAGATTGAAATCATGTTAAATAAATGGACTCGCCCTCTCTAGGGACCTCCGTCCTCTATTACTGGACAATGCGAAACTCTGGGGATGCGTACCATTGTCATATTTGTCATTAACGCGAAATGTGAGTGTAATATTAATATCATATCACGCCCTTTCGTCCTTGAAGGGGTAGAGATCAATTATTATAAATGAACTTTTTAATAAGTAGATATGTCAGTGTTATATTAGACGGTAGATTTATACACAAGGGGAAATCCTAGAATCGGTTCTATTACTGTTTTCTTAGAATATTAACATTTTACATCTAAAAGATATTATATCAATTAGTTAAGTTCATCAAGGACCAAGCATCATCAAGCAGAATTTTTATATTTTAAGAGTTATATAAGTTAGAGTTATATAATACGTCTTATAAAAATGTCTGTGATTCTGCTATTCTCTGTGATTCTGAGCAAATACAAATAAGACGATTAGCTTTTCAAAAAAGTCACACTGAATCACCAAAGTACTCGTTGCTCACCACAATTTTCAGTTGATCTCCACAACCAACATCACATTACGACCCCACAAAAATAAAACCAATAAATTTATTCAAAACCCATTTCACGTATAAAATAAAAAAAGAAATATTCCAAGTAAGTACATTCGTTTTTACTGATGGCAACATCGATAACGGTCCCCTCACTTATTACCACGATTGCAGTCCTAAATAACAGTGCTACCAACCTATTTGGAGGGAAACTCTATGGTTAATGCATGAGGCGCGGTTTTTATTTAGAAAGTTCTCTTTTTAAATTATACTTTTTTATTGGCAGTAGTTAGCAACGTGATTTCTTCTTGTAGTTGTATCGATAACTGAATTTTAGTTTTTAGAAATGTTTTTAGTGTTAATACTAACTTCTGTCCTCGAGTTCACTAGGAAGTATGTTGTCGTGAGAAAGCCTTTGAGTTATTCCAAAAATATTTTGTTTTATCTTCACTGGCCAATGGCAAACCTTATTTGTTGTAGTTTAAAGTTAAGTAAATATTAGGATAAATATCTTTGCTGCAATCCATAATATACTAAAATGATAAACTAAAAATCACAAATTACTCACGTAAATGTACTGAGAAACTGCTCGACTAGTTTCGAGCCACAGAGGGGTACATCCACATGAGCAGCGTGCGCGGTCGAGGCGATCTCGCGCAGCTTACTCAGTAGGTTTTGAAGTAAGAAGAGCCTATCAGTGGCTTGAAAGTAGTAGATTTTTTCTCAGTATTTTCACGTGTGTAACCCGCGATTTTTAGTTAATTTAGTATGTCTCACGATAGTTATTATAAAAACTGCAGTAAAACTGTTTGTTTAAAACTATAACTTTAATATGTCACAGCACAGTTATCCAGTCGGTACAGGGAAAGTAGGCTACGACTATTTAATTGAATTAATGCTGAAAATGAACTCATAACCCTTCGTCATCGGGGTGTTGTCAAGGTTTGCAGGTAAACGGTCCTTTAACATGACACAATTGGCTTGTTTTGACAAAATTGTTGAATTTGAGAGACGATTTTTAAGCACCGAATTAAAAGGTACCTTGAATGGCACAAATTTCGTTGTCTTTGTCAATAACCTAGTCTTTTGGCATATCGATGATTTTGTTTTTTTTTCTTCTCCTCATACAATATCTTCTGATGGATACACTTCGTTGCGGGAACCAATACAGTTATTCATGTCCCTGGGACGCGTCGGACTACAATGTTCCGGTGTTTTCGTGGTTGTATCTACTGTAGATCCTGGTTTACAGGAGTTGCAGCGGTTTTGGGAGGCTGTGGCGGGCTTGTCCCAAAAAAAAAATACCGATGTTTTTTAATTTGCCCTTATTACAATTGGTCGTTCTTCTGACATTTATTTGATTGGAGTTTTCACAAACATCCAACCAAAATTGAGTTGGATAGTAGAAGATATTACGATTAGAATGCCTATCATCTTCCCTCTAAGGCTGACCCTCAAGAGAACCTTAATTAGACCTTTAGAAAAGAATACAGAACAAACCATAGAAGTTTATAATTCGCTTTATTCAAATGGCAACCCATTGCAGGTTTATATCCAATCAGATCCAGTGACTGTAAAGAGTACAGGTAAACTATACAAGACCAGTATATACTGGCCGTTGAATGTGCGATAAGATGGTATAATGCGAGACCATTATAACCTGGTTTTGTATAATTTGACGTGCAGCCATGTGTACTTAGGAAGCCATAGTGGTAAGGCTGCCGATGGAGTCAAGGCCATACTTAATGGCTCAACAAATTGTTTCGACGCACACGGCACGCCTCTAATCATATTACAGATTTATTGTTAGGTTCTGATCGGTACTAATTGTTCATTATTTCTGTTCTGATTGCCTCGATGGCCGAGTGGTCGCAAGTGAAAGGGCAAGGTGTTACTGGGTTATTAAAAAAATCTTATTAGTAGCACGGATTCTGGAAATGAGCTTGGTATATGGCAATAGGCTGGTGAGTCTATAGAACCATGTAATAGGGGGTGCATGGTACTCCTAACATAAATAGAGAAAAGTGGGTGTTACATTGTACAGTGGCATTAAATGCCGTACTTGTACACCTCTGGCTACCGATTCGAGATTAAACGGCATAATGTTATGTTATACTATGTCATTTCTGTGAAAGATCTTTCGGTACTTAGTTACTTAGTATAAAATTATACTCTTATTTATACCAAGATCTCGGATTCGACATCTGGGATAAAATAGTGCTTAATGGTAAGCCTTATGACTTATATAGCGAAAATAGTGCTTGAGGGGATCTGGCCTGGCCTGGCCTTCTTACCTAGCATTGAGATTGATTAGCCGTAACATCAATCTCAATTAGTTTACGACGCAGAAGATAATAATTATCCATGTATTCTATGTATCTTTACTTTCATGATAGAATGAGACCATTTCAAATCTTTGTAACTGAGGTGAAACACTGATCTTGTATAGGTATAGCCAAGGTACCAGTGGTAACTTTCTTTTAATATAATGAATACTACTTAGGTATATGCCTTTGTCGTACACAAGGATCAAACAAAAAATTACACAGTAGTCTGTGGATTAATCGAAGAATTTCTATTTGATACCTTTTTAATAACCAGTATTACTTTGCCCGACCCAGCAATCGAACCCGAGACCCCTTGCCCAGCAGTCGCACATGTGACCACTCGGACAACGAAACAGACCTTTATTACTAGTTGCATACTAGTATATACGTCTTGTATACTATATTATATACAACTTATATTTTACAATTTTATTGAATATATAATGAATTAACAGATAGGTAATAAATTACCTTTAGTAGCTTTGTCACGAGGTATCAATCGTGCCAATTGCCAGAGCCAAGCGCGATGGCGCCCGACAATTTCAGATTAAAAGGCTTTGTTTTAATTTGACCTATAAATACAATACAATACTATACAATTACTTAAGTCAAATGCACTATACACATAGTAAATTATACATATACCAAGCGGGTAATTATAATATGTAAAAGTATACAATAATAAGATCCCGAGAAGATATCAATAAAAAATTTCATTAGACAAAGGAAATGAGGAAATGCCGTACCTATTACGGGTCTTTTTTCTTTTTTTATTTATTGACTAGTATAGGTAAATAAACCGTTGGTAATCACGCAGGGATTTCTGGCCCCAAAGAATTTTGTAACAGTTCAACTTCTTTTACGCAAATCCAACTCTTGTTAAGCAGCTTAAGAAAAGGAATAAACAAAATGTCAAATAGTGAACTATTACATAACTCCCAGGTGGGCAATGTAGAGGCCAATGTCCTTGACACGAGGCACAGAAGGCAGCGCCTACCGACATTGCGGCAAAACTACACAGAATTGCCACTCACCTGGGTTGGCGTCGCAGTTTCCGTCGTCATAACTTCCTCCGACGCCAGTCTACTCCTCTTCTTTCTTTTCTGACATGTACAACAGTCTATGAACGAGGACAGCGTAAAACTACCCTTGAATCAAGCCGACATCGACATCGCCAAAATATCGATTTTTATCGTCCCAACACTCGCGTTAAAAAAATTCAATCCAAAGTTCTCACTGGCATTCTCGTCCCGAAAATTATTAAAAAAAAGAATTAGAATAAAGATATCGATTTAGTTCTATATTCGAAATGAAACGCGCGGCTCGCGCTCCGCCATTTTCCTTCCGTATTCAAATTCCGTGATTGGACGTTACACTTTATTTATTTTTTTAGGAAAACGGGAGCTAATTCTAGGACACACTAAGCGACAATTAAAGCTGAAATTAAACACTGCGTTATAAATATTAATAGAATACGTTTCAAACGGTTAGAATAATTGTTTTTCGTGCAAGTTGTTGCGTTTGTTCACCACGGGGGTGTACAAGAATTTTGCCGGCTCGGACAAGTGAGTTGGGTGGGGTGGTGCGATGCTACTGCGACTGCGCGGGGGTGTGTCGCTGTGTGCGTGATTTGCGTGTATCATTTCCAGGATATCGTGACCCTTGCCTCCCCCTGTGTTCGTACACAGATAGGTGATAGCAGGGGTATCGATTCTTGGTACTATAGGTCTAAGTAAAGTGGTTTTGTTCTATGTATTAATACAATCGATAATTTAGACTCAGATGGTAGGAAATATTAGACAGAGAGGGGCCTACACAAGCTTGGTACAGAATCGCAGCAGACAATGTTGTTTGGCGAATGTTTTGCAAAAAGAGGTGTAAAGTAATCTAGATTTTGATGAATAAATTCAGGTTTAGGTCTTGTATTTAGGCTTCAAAATGAAGTAATGTATTCATATTATTCAGACATCGTCGCGCGTCGCGTCGTCTCGTCTGGTCTACGATTTAATGTCAGTCTGCGCGCATGTGAAGCGCTTAAGGGATTATAGCATCAGGGGAATGTAAAACAAGGTTTAAATTAGCCGTCTCTTTCTCACTAAATTCATTACATTAATGACATCATTTTAACAATTCCAACATCTAGTCACTATTTTAACAAAATCGATGTATTTAGTTATCTTTCATTTTTCACGATTGTTAAGCAACAACAGATCTGACACAATCTGATCTGTATCTGTCAATAATAAAGAAAAGGGGAATTATTACAATGATATTTAGGTTGAATATCCAAAATATTATTTAAGTAGGTACTTATTACAATTCTTCTTACACTGCATTGTAGTTAAATACAAACTTTATTTTCTCTCATTCTCAATTCCCATTCTAATCCTTTTTCGAGAAGCTGGGTACTATCCTGGTCAAAGGTTAAGCATTGACACAACGTGGCAATTTGTTTAATGCGTTAAGTTAGTTTTTCTTTTTTCCCTATCCTATTTTTCTATATATCTTATGTTAATTTTGGTTGCAAATACTTTAGTTTTTATTTATTACTAGCTTCTGCCCGCGACTTCGTACGCGCAATCCCGTTTTCTGCCTCTTCCGTAGGATTTTCAGGATTATTTCTGTCTTAAGAACCTTCTCCTAATAATATCAAATATAACAAAAAAAGAATTAGTGAAATCGGTCCAGCCATTCACGCGTAATGCCGTGACCAAGTGAAAAAGAGGTTCATTTTTATAAATATACATTTAAATAGATTAGGTTAGACCACAAAGCCAGATTATATTTATCATAAAATTAAATAAAATATTATCAGTTCGTCCATATTACAATATTGTATTCATTCTTTTTTGGACTTACTTTCCTATTAAATCCACGAGCTTCACATTTAAAAGCTTATAAAATTAACATATATCGACAAAAGAACATCACTTTGATGAACTGTTAAAAGCGTAACAATGTCTGCTTATACTCTATAAATATCCTAAATCTCTATTTAAGGGTTATAAGTGGCCACTTAACCCTTTTTCGTTAGGGGCTCGGGTACTTAAGCTTTTATAAGTAGTGTCATATGGCTATAACCTGGCGAACATAATGTATTAGGTATAAAAGTAAATCTTTGAAAGATTGAAAATCTTTTGCTACTCGCCTTAAGTCAAAGTCAAAATCATTTATTTCAATTAGACGAGAAAGGCACTTTTGAACATTTAATTTATTTATTTATTTAAATAGGTATACCAACAGCTTCTGTATACATAGCATTAAGAGATATGAAAGTAACATTAAGTATTTAGGCTTATACAGTCGCCAATTATAGGTTAACCAACATTTAATTACTTAAGTGAAACTATAAATACAAAAATGAACGAGGACAATAGAGTTTTAGTTAGTAAAAAAGAAACTACTAGTAACGAAATTAACATTCTTATTATAAGGAACATAAAATTAAAGACTATTAATAGAACTTTAAGAACCTTGGTTATTACAAAATTAAACATTTAAAAAAGAAAAGAAATAAAGCATGTTTCGTAAAAAATTAAATGTTAATAAATATATTAAGCTAAGGATATGAACATCAACACAAAATTAAAAGAGAAGCAATTTGCTCATTCCAAAGTGTAGATTCCTACGGAGAACAACGAGCAAGAAACTCCATAGGTTACTCTTTGTCAATCAGGTTCACAGTACAAATCTTTAGTTACATAGTTTTTTTGGTTCATTTGTGCAAGAACAATGTAACACCAAAATCCAGTCAAAGAAATTGAAAAAGAAAATAACCTTAAGGACAATTAATGTCAATGTCAAAGACTGTATAGTCTGGAGCTGACCAGTCCCAGTTGACGGCGCCAAACATGACACGTACACCAGAATCGCCCAACTCAACCATATTGTAGGGAATCGAGCGATCCACTGCACGTGCCATCGCCAATGAGACAACCTTCGATTGAGATAAAGAATATCCTCTTCCATCGTTTAGTCTTGGAGATAATAACGGCTTCAATCTACTCCTAAATAGGAAGTTTCACTGAGAATTTTCGATTGAAAACCCATCATCACATTCAATCACAACATCAATTTGACTATTTTTTTTTCTTTCTTTTTTACGGGAAAACATTATCCAATGACTTCTCCCTTCTACCTTGGATTAAGTGCAAGTGTCAGACTCTTACTGACAAAAACCACCCCGTCTGTAGAAACTCCGGTTCAAAGAGCAGGAGTAGTCCTGCTTTTTGAACCGGAGCCCCGGCAACCCGTTAGGCCTTCCGCGGCTTAATAACTTCGGACCAAGGTTTGAACTCATATGTCCTCCGTAGCAGACAATTAGACCGACTTGGACACCAAATTAGTATACCTTGTAACTTTTCACTATCACCTTCAGTAAGCGATCAACACACCCATAGACACCTGGAATACTGATAAGTTGTATCTAATTATTTTGCTCATTTGCTGGTGTTAGTGTTATATTAAAATATATTATAATACAGGCCAAATGTAAGTACCTACTAAATAAAAAAAATTTGCTCTTAAAATCGGCCAAACAAACAACATCCGAAATTCGGAAAAATACTGAGACTAATAAAAATAAATAAATATTTATGAGTTCTGGCAACACTCCATAATCACGGCTTAGATACTTATTTTTATGAATGAAACAAGAATAGACTGTTAACATGATTAGGAGTAAATAATGTAGTATTATGTTACCTATTTTGATAAATAACATGATACCTCTTTAGTTTTCAAAGGGAAAGTAGTTATACTCCATCCTGTTGTCGCAAGCAAAAGCAGCAAACGGCTAGCAAGGTTTACAGATGAATGTACAGGAAAGCACCGCGCATGGTTGAAGACTTCATGACATTGAAAAAATTAAAACAGAAAAACAGCAGTATTCCGCAACACGCGACGCGGCCACTGAGATATATGAGCCTCTAGCATGGTTTGAAACTAGTCGAGTCCCTTGTCAAACAGGCATGTGAGTAAGTCACATAATAAATACAATTTTGAGTAGAAAAAACCAATAAACAATAGTTATTTCTTCATAATGTTAATATACCCACAAAGTATCAAACGTGATATCTAATTGATGGTTATTAGCATTTACCTATTATATCCACGGAATTATATCCGTATATATAAAACTCAAAGGTGATTGACTGACTGACTGACTGACATAGTGATCTATCAACGCACAGCCCAAACCGCTGGACAGATTGGGCTAAAATTTGGCATACAGATAGATGTTATGACGTAGGCATCCGCTAAGAAAGGATTTTGATAATTTCCACCCCCAAGGGGGTAAAAAAGGGGATGAAAGTTTGTATGAAACTTTGTCAGTTTTTAACTGATCAGGTTGAAATTTGGCATGCAGATAGATGTTATGACGTAAGCATCCGCTGTGAAAGGATTTTGATAATTTCCACCCCCAAGGGGGTAAAATAGGGGATGAAAGTTTGTATGAGACTTTGTCAGTTTTAAACCGATCGGGTTGTAATTTGGCATGCAGATAGATGTTATGACGTAAGTATCCGATGTGAAAGGATTTTGATAATTTCTACCCCCAATGGGGGTAAAATAGGGGATGAAAGTTTGTATGAGACTTAGTCAGTTTTAAACCGATCGGGTTGTAATTTGGCATGCAGATAGATGTTATGACGTAAGCATCCGATGTGAAAGGATTTTGATAATTTCCACCCCCAATGGGGGTAAAATAGGGGATGAAAGTTTGTATGAGACTTTGTCAGTTTTAAACCGATCGGGTTGAAATTTAGCATGCAGATAGATGTTATGACGTAAGCATCCGCTTTGAAAGGATTTTGATAATTTCTACCCCCAAGGGGGTAAAATAGGGGATGAAAGTTTGTATGAGACATTGTTAGTTATAAATCGATCGGGTTGAAATTTGGCATGCAGATAGATGTTATGACGTAGGCATCCGCTGTGAAAGGATTTTGATAATTTCCACCCCCAAGTGGGTAAAATAGGGGATGAAAGTTTATATGAGCCTTTGTCAATTTTAAACCGATCAGGTTGAAATTTGGCATGCAGATAGATGTTATGACGTAAG